TAGGGAAGGATGGTTTCTGTATCTCAGTGAAGAATGCCTATTTCCACTCTTCCTCAAATTGTCTTTAAGTGCGTAATTTTTATAGAGCATTATAGGTAACCTGTACATGTTAACTTTTCTCCTATTCTCATGGCAGTTAAAATTATGCTTTGAATTATGCATAACTAACTTAATTACATCTTGGCATTTTCCAGTTACTCCCACCTCTGTGTTACCAGCATGTGGATAGCATCAGGAGTTTATTTGAACACTTCAAAGAGATGTTTTGGGAGGAGAGGAAAGGAGTGGAGACCAGGGGATCCACCAGTACTTAGTGCACCATTGCTCTGGGTGACCTTGAGGAGAGGGGGAGATTAGGTTAGAAAAGTTGGGGGTCCAGATCCCAAGGTTCTTACCTTATTAGCAGGGTTGTGAGTTAGGACTTTCTTTCTTTCTTTCTTTTGTTTAGTTATAACACTGAAGGTAGCGCTACTTTATTTTTTTAAGTTATTTATTTATTATTTTATTTATTTATTTTGGCTGCACCGGGTTTTAGTTGCGGCATGCGGACTCTTCGTTGTGGCATGCATGCGGGATCTAGTTCCCCAACCAGGGATGGAACCCAGGCCCCCTGCATTAGGAGCTCAGAGTCTTACCCACTGGATCACCAGGGAAATCCCAAATGTTAGGACTTTCTACTCAAAATTTTTATCAACAGCCAACTTAAAAGAGTTATTTTTCACAGTCCTAGGCTGAACCTTGGTGAGCTGACCTCACCTCTTTGGTGGGATCCTAGTTCCTGGTCCCTCTGCCTAACCCAGACTGACACTTATTCCTTTTGTATCTCATTGTATGGGTGCTGAATGTTTAAAAGAGAGACAGTCCCTTTACCGGGACTATTTCAGCATATGACAAAAGTTTTCCCATTACAAGCATCACACAGATTCTGAGATCAGTGCAGCATCAGCAGCGTCATCATGTGAGGTTTGGGTATTACTGTGGGCGTCTGCTTAGAAAAGAACTGTAAGAGGAGAGGCAAGGGATGGCATCAACTTCTGCGGCTTGGGAAATCAAACCAGTGTCTCTGGGTTTTGTGTAGGGGGCAGAATCAAATGGGCTGCTTCAGGGGCACAGTTTCTCCTCAACCTTACGTTTATCTTTAAAAATCAATGCAGGGCTTCCCTGGTGGCGCAGTGGTTGAGAGTCCGCCTGCCGATGCAGGGGACACGGGAAGATCCCACATGCCGCGGAGCAGCTGGGCCCGTGAGCCATGGCCACTGAGCCTGCGCGTCTGGAGCCTGTGCTCCGCAATGGGAGAGGCCACAACAGTGAGAGGCCCGCGTACCGCAAAAAGAAAAAAAAATCAAAGCAAAGTTTCCTTCTGCTCTCATATAATGTTTCTATTTCACACTTAAAAGTAGTTTCTCCTGCAGACTTCTGGAGTCCTGCTCTAGGTGCTGCTTACGTGGGTGTGTTCAGTTTGTGACAGTTTATCAAATGATACAATTATAACGTATGTACTTTTGTTTTAATTAGAAAGCAAAGCAAGAAGAAAAACAAATCCTCCCCAAATCTACAAGCATATCTGAGCTCCAGGAAAAGCTGCTATGTTTATTCTCTCTTCACTTAACCGCCTGGGTTATGTGCACCTCAGTTCAAAGCATATTACTGTAGGTTATGAGGAACCATGAAAGGATGTTAAACAGGGTAGACATGGCCTGTTTTGTGTTTTTGTAAGATTACTCAAGTTAATGTCAGACAAAATGCAGCCAGCGGAGCCGCTTAGGATATCTGGGGAGGTGTATGAGTGGGCGGTGTTGAGGCCAGAGCCTGGGCAGTGGCCAGAGGGATGGACAGATGGGGGAGACTCCAGAGGAGCCACACTGGAGAGAAAAAACTGGAATGGTGGAAGGAGCACTTGGAGGCAGTGCGAGGAGCTACTTCCGGTCCTACCCCTTTTTTGTTGTCTTGGTCTGTCACCTGAGCCTCATTTTCCTCAGTTGTAAGAGGAGGATACCAGTACCTTCGGTGCCTTCTCTCCCCCACCCTCCACCCCCCCACCTTATTGTGGGGACCAAAAGAGGTGTTGGGTGTGGAAGGGCCTTAAAAACTATAAGATGCCATCGGGAATTGTGGTCAGGGCAGTGGTTATATTTTCATTATTGTGGTTTTTTTGTAGCTTAGTATAAAAGCAGTTATGCCTTTACTCTCTAACGTGATAAACTTTATTCCTAGCCCACATTCTATATGCAAAACTTCTTTAAAAATTTCAAGTTAGTATTTAGGTTTATAAATTAAACTTATAAAAATTTGAAGCTTGGATTGAAACAAATAATCACTATTCTGAGTCTTCTAAACTTTCTGTTAAACTACAATGAAGTTAATTTTTAAATTGAGATTACCACTGGTTCACTTCTTAAAAGCCTTTTTAGATTTTTCAATGATTAAAGCTGAAACTATCAGTGAGGATTCTTACTGGCTGCTTTTAATTCAGCTAATTCAGAGAGGCCGCCAGGCAGGGGATGTGGAAACTACTGTGGTGGGTTCCCAAAAACACCAAAGATGGATTTTGTCTGTTTAGGTTTCATAGACATATTTTCAGAGTCCAAGGAGGGCCTGGATGTTCACTCATCAATGATCCTGCGCTTCCTGCATCGCAACCGGCTCTCTAGCACCGTCATCCCCTACCCTATGTTGGACCACTGCAATAACATGAGCACCATGAGGGCTTCTGTTCTGAAGGACTCTCTGGATCAACTGGTACAAAAAGAAAAGGGTACGTGTGCGGGGGTGGGGGGTGTTCTTGAGAAGGCCTGATCATCGTTTCTTCCAAGTGTGGTATTTATTGATAGGATGAGCCAACACTTCTCCCTGCTTTTATTTCTGAAAATGTAATAGTGACCAGTTTGTAGCACAAGAATGAAGACCTGCTCTGCCTTTCCCCTCCCCCTCTCCTTCCCCTCCCCATCCCCCTCACCCTCTTCATAACCCCACGTCTCCGCTCAGATGTGACTTCAGGAAGGCCTTTTCTCATTAGTCTTATCTAACTAATGCCCCCACCCCTGCCACTCCCCACCTTTTGGTTACTATCCCCTTTGCAGGTTTAATAGTCTAAATGGCACTTATCATCATCTGAGGTTGTAGCATTAGTCTTTACTTGTGTTTTTGTCTGTCTGTTCGCTTCATTATCCTTGGCACCTGGAACTATGCCTGCCGCATAGTAGATACTCTGTGAATAGTTGTTCAGTAAATGAGGGAAGCCACTACAGACTCACTTAGTGACGACAACAAAAGTTGATACTGTGAATTGGTAGGTCCGTGGAACATAATAAGAGTCCAGAAATTGACCCAAATACATGTGGGAATATAGTACCAGATATAATTAGCATTACACGTCAGGTTGGAAAGGTGAATTGGCAAACAAGTTGGGTTAGGGAACTGGTTAGCCATTTGCAGAAAAAAATAAAACAAGATTCTTAACCCACTGTATTCACGAAAATAAATTGCAGATGGATTAAAAAGTTCAACCAAAAAGAAAGCTATAAGAGCTAAAAACCCTGACGTGGGAAAACCTTTCCGAGCAGGACATGAAACTCAAAAACTACAAAAGAAAAGATTAATAAGTTAGACTGTATGCAAATTTAAATTTCTGTACAGCAAAAAATATAAGCAGAGTCAAAAGACAAATGACATTTTAGGGAACAAAAGTATATTTTGTAACATTGTGACAGACTCAGTTTTTTTTTTTTTACTAACTCTGACCTTGGGCAATTACTTAATTACCTTAGTTTCCTCATCTCTAAAATGAATTAATACATAAAAATGTGTAGAAAAGTGCCTGGTTCACAGTAAACAGTCAGTAAATATTACTTATTATGTATGTGTATATATACATTACATAATGTACATAAAATATATAAATTGATAAGAAGACTTGTGACCCAGTAACAAAAATAGATGAGGGCAGGACCAGGCCATACTCAGAAACAGTGGCTTACAAACAAGTGGCTTAAAAAAAATCTCACTCATAATTAAAGAAATGTAAATTCAAACTATAAGACATCATATTCATCTCTTGGGTGGTTTTGCAGATATATCAGTGGATTTGTGTTGTACTACAGTCAGCTCATGGAGCAGTCCTTCTGCTTTACACATGTTCTCCAATTTGGAAGGAGATTTTAAGGAGCATTTATTTTTCTAGGGCCAAAGTGCCAAGCATATTTCTGCTAGATATTTTAAATGATCTTTTAAAAAATTCTTTGTGAAAGAGATGTCATGATAAAATCTGGTTTTTCTTGCAGAGAGCCCTGGAGATCTAACTAGAAGTCCAGAGATGGACAAACTCAAGTCAGTAGCAAAGTGCTACGCTTATATAGAAACATCCTCCAACCCTGCAGACATTGACAAGATGACAAATGGAGAAACGTCATCATACTGGCAGTCAGATGGCAGTGCCCGCTCACACTGGATTCGGTGGGTGCTGTAATACCAATTCTTGAGTGAAAGTTCAAGAAAACTGCCCACTTTCTTTCTCTTATCCCATCAGTGGGTTAAAAAATTATTTTTTAAAATTTTAGAATATTTTTCTACTTAACTGGCTAGTGTTTTTCTTCTTGTGACTATCTGGAAAGATGCTTTAAGAATCAAGTTAGGACTTCCCTGGTGGCACAGTGGTTAAGAATCCACCTGCCAATGCAGGGGACACGGGTTCGAGCCCTGGTCCGAGAAGATCCCACATGCCACGGAGCAACTAGGCCTGTGTGCCACAACTACTGAGCCTGCACTCTAGAGCCCGTGAGCCACAACTCCTGAGCCCACGTGCCACAACTACTGAAGCCCACACGCCTAGAGCTCATGCTCCATAACAAGAGAAGCCACTTCAATGAGAAGCCTGCGCACCACAGCAAAGAGTAGCCCCCGCTCGCTGCAACTAGAAGCCACTGCAACCAGAAAGCCCGCGCACAGCAACGAAGACCCAATGCAGCCAAAAATAAATAAATAAATAAAAATAAATCTATTTAAAAAATTATTAAAAAAGAAGAGAATCAAGTTAAAGGAATTATGTAAAATTATCTAACCTGGTTCATATATTCATAAATATGGATAATTACTTGGTATTAAGGGAGAAAATTAGCATTTGACTAATATTTTATGATATGGATTTCAGATCTTTTTCACTAGGTTTTCAGGAAGATTAATATCACAAGGGACAAGTACTTTTCTTATATCTGATGTGATTTTACTTCTCAAGATTTTTTCTGCACATTTAAAAAATTTGTGTACAACTAAGTTGGCCAGTTTAGTAGAGAAAGAGGGAACAGGGGTGGTCAGGAATACTGGAGTGGAATTTTTTTTCCCCTCACCCCCGCACAGCACGTGGGGGGATCTTAGTTCCCTGACCAGGGATCGAACCCGTACCCCCTGCAGTGGAAGCATGGAGTCCTAACCACAGAACCGCCAGGGAACTCCCCCACTGGAGTGGAATAGATGACAGTAAACTATGATGAAGCTGCTATCTAAAATTTCACCTGTGCCTTCAGAAAATGGGCTGATTTCAGTTGGTGGAAATAGAAATAATTACCTTGTTTTCTCATAGAGGATTAATATGCTCTTTAGCCATCTATACATGAGGGAATATACCCAGTTCTTTGCATGCAGTTTAGAAATTTGCTTCTTGCCAGGTAAAGGGATTTTGTTAGACTGTTCATATTGTACTTTCCTGCTTGTATTAGTAGCTTAAAAAGAAATAGAAGATTGATCTTGAACTGAAAGGAATTTTAGAAACTTGGGAAGGTCATAAGGACTTTGAAACTAATAGCCAGCATTTCAAGTTAGTTGCTTTTAGGGGAATCAGTCTTGGGGTATATATCACATGTAAGATCTTGAGATGGGACTTGTGGGCCCTGCCAGTTCTCAGCCTGTATAAACACTTGTAGTTTCTGCTCTTCGTGTTTTCCAGTTTAAAAATGAAGCCAGATGTTGTGCTTAGGCACCTGTCCATTGCAGTGGCTGCCACTGACCAGAGCTACATGCCGCAGCAGGTGACTGTAGCTGTGGGGAGGAGTGCCAGCGATCTTCAGGAAGTCCGCGACGTGCACATTCCCAGCAATGTCACTGGCTATGTGACACTGCTGGAAAATGCCAACATCAGTCAGCTCTGTGAGTCAACCAAGATACGTCTTGCCCTTCTAACTAAGGGGATTGGGAGGGGAGGAAGAAGTCATGTTTTTTGAGGGAAGACCTCTGAAGTAGAAAAGCTGTTTGCTTTTCTCTGGAGATCTGATTTGCTTCTCATCATATACATGAAAGTGGTCATTATTTTGCCTATTCAGTGTTTTTAAAAGTTATAGAAAAGCAGTAAAGCCTATTTTAATTAAAAATATTTTATTTTTGTTTTCTTATTAGAAAATTAGAAATATTTCAATAAAAATTATTCAGAATCCCACTACCCAGGGATTGTCGCTGTGAATCCGTTGGTATGGATCCTTCCAGACCTTTTCTTATATTTCTGTGTGTGTGTGTATATCTGTGTGTATAAATACACACGCACATATATATATACACATTTTTAAAAATAAAAGATAGGTTTGCATATTATATATATTTACATATATCTATACATGTCTTTTTACAAAAAATAGTGATATTTTGTACACGCTCTTTTGTAACTTTTTAATGTGTTGTCTCATCATATATTCATGCACACCTTTATTTAGTGTTGTAAGAATATGCCTTAACTTTAACAAGCCTTTTATTCTTGGACATTTAGTTTGTTTCCATTTTTATACTATTATAACCTTGCTTCCCACATAGCATTTTGGAAATAATCACAATTCTGTGATTTCTTTCCAGGCTTGTTTCATTCAGGGAGCCGGAATGCTTCATGTTTTGTCTCATTTCTTCTAATGCTTTCCTGGGCCAAAGGAAGTATTCTTGCTTTGCTCAAAGGAACTGAGGCCTGGGGAGGTAGAGTCTTTGTGTCTCACCCCTGGGCAGAGACGTAGTTAAGCTTGTGGAGTAGAAGCTTCCTGTCTTATACTGTGGTGGTCTTTTCTCTAAATTGTGTCCTTTTAAACTTCTCACCTCCTTTCCAACCCAAATAAGAAATTGTGACAGCTCTTAAAAGTGAGTCATGCCTATGCCATTTATCTGGACTTGATAATTAAAAAGAAATTCTCACAACTGCTATGAGCCAGCTGCTGTTTCATAACAACATCCAAATTTCGGAACTCTAGGAAAAATTTTTAGACATTTTCTTACCGTGTATTTAATCAGGATTTTAAAAATGCACTTTGTGTTAATTATCAGAACTCATAAATGCCTATGAAGCTTTGTGATATATAGATTTAAGCCACCCTTAGTTTTACACATGATTCTTTTGACTCCTTAGATTGGTCAATGCTTTTTTTTTTTTTTTTTTTTTTTGGCGGTCCGCGGGCCTCTCACTGTTGTCGCCTTTCACTGTTGTGGCCTCTCCCGTTGCGGAGCACAGGCTCCGGACGCGCAGGCTCAGCGGCCATGGCTCACGGGCTCAGCCGCTCCGCGGCATGTGGGATCTTCCCGGACCGGGGCACGAACCCGTGTCCCCTGCATCGGCAGGCGGACTCTCAACCACTGTGCCACCAGGGAAGCCCGGTCAATGCTTTTTTGACAAATTTATTATATATACTAGCTCCATTGCACACATCATTTATTTCTGGCATCAAAGTATATCTTCAGAATTTTCTTTTTGAAATGTGAATTGCTATCTTGCTTTTAGTTGGAAGCCTAGAATTTGCTGAACTGAAGAAGTTAATCCAATACTGAATTTGTTGTTTGCGCTTGACAGATGTCCAGATTAACATAAAGCGTTGTCTTAGTGATGGATGTGACACTAGAATTCATGGTCTGAGGGCTGTTGGCTTTCAGAGAGTCAAGAAGTCTGGGGTCTCAGTCTCAGATGCTTCTGCAATATGGTATTGGTCTCTGCTGACATCTCTGGTGACGGCTTCCATGGAGACAAATCCCGCCTTTGTCCAAACAGTGCTACGCAACACTCAGTAAGTCTCTCTGCTTTCCAGGCTGTCACGGGGTGCTCATTCTCTAACCCTTTAGGGCGAGTCACTGAGCAGCCTTTGATCATTGAGACTCAGTCAGCAGCTGGGCCCCAGGTGCCCTGTTGTTCCCTGTTTGTGCCTTCAGCTCCTATCTTGTGAGGGGGTCCCACATGCCATTCCTCTTCCTTATCCACTGGGGAACAGTTGTTCACATTACATAGCAATTTATATGGGATAAAACACCTTCAGATGCTATATATTATTTACCTCCTTATGTTGTAAAATGTATCTGTAAAAATTATCCCTGTTGTATAGACAAGGATACGGTGACCTTCCCTGAGGTGTATGACCAGGCAGTGATGGATCAGTTTGAATCTAGGTCTTTGGACCTAGGCCCTAGGCCCCTAGGTTGAAAGCTCTTTTCACTAAAGAGTCAGATCTTTTCAAGGACACCAAATTAATTTATTTTTAAATGTAGAGTACCTTTGAAAATTTTCTTCTAAAAACTGTTAGGGCAAAAGGACTCAGTTTTAATATATAAGGCAAAGCAACTAGCTTCAGTAGCAATGAAGTACTAGTATTATATGTAAGTTGAATAGCTGATAATAGGCACTCAGTGCAGGCTAGCAAAATATCTGTAGATGTCTTTTGAGATTTGTTATTGCTATTAAATAAAACTCTTCAGCAAATAATACTGCTGGCAGTGCTAGATCTGAAGGGTAATATTTGGCCAGACTCCTTTCTTCCTGCCTGTTTTAAAATTTAAAAAATAAAAAAATTTCAAACTTAGAGAAATATTGCAAATTCGACGCAAAAAGAAAAAGTAGCTTCTTCCTGAGCCAGTTGAGAGTAATTTGCTAACCTGATGCCCCATGGTTCCTGAACATTTTATTTAGTATGTATTTCCTGCAAATGAGAACATGCTGCTACAACCATCAAAATCAGGAAATTAACATTGATATACATTGCTACCATCTGATTCTCAGATCCCGTTCAAGTTTTGCTAGTTGTCTTGGTAATGTCCTTTATAGCAAAAGGATCCAGTCCAGAATCATACTTGGTATTTCATTGTCATGTCTCTGTAGTTTCCTTCAATAAGGAATAATTCCTCTGTCTTTCCTTGACTTTTAAGACTTTGAAACTTTTGAAAATTATAGGTCAGTTATTTTGAAGAGCGT